AGAGCCTGATTTTTTAGGGCATTGCCTGTTACCCTCTAAAAACATAATACCATCTACGACAGTTTTTCTAGAAAAAAATCTTTTTGGTCTGCTGGTTTCATAGACACTAAATGAGTGTGTCACCAGGTCTCACCAAAGGCCGGTCAGCAGCCGTCCTGTGCACCCAGCACCCTGGCCGCTCGCTTTCAGCCTGGGTGATGATGTAGGGCTGCCCACGGCTCAGTTCAATGGCCGTTGGTGGGGTGTTGCTTAAGAACTCACTTTCTTCCATTTTCCTGTGTTCTTGGAAGTCATTACAGCCTTGTAATACTCATCGTGACCTTTAGAAGTGGCAGGAGACTTTGTTCCCCAAGAAATGAAGCTATTCTAAAAAGCTTCGCTTGTCAGAACTCGAAGCCATGTTCTTTTCTAAAGCAAGTGAGCATTACGTCCTATATTCCTAAAGCTTCCTCTTGCTTCCTTTTGAATGGTTCTATATTTTTCCTTTTTAGGTATAAAAGGTGCTTCAGTGGCCACTTGAAGCTCATTTGATTGTTTCCTCTGATAATATTACAGAGAAACACAAGCTTTCTCTCAAAAACATGTCCCTTAGCCTATAGAAAGGCAGACAGCAGACCTGTTGGGTGAGGAGAAAACGGCAGGAACAGGGAGCGAGTTTCCTGAAGAAAACCCCTTTCTGCCCCTCACTTCTTTCCTCCACTCCCGTAACGCCGTGAGGCCGAGGTGACCCGTTCTCTCAGCCGGAGAAGAGGTGCGGGTGCCACGGCGGGTCCTGGGGGAGCGCGCTGCCTCCCCGTGGCCTCCCCTTGCTGTTTGATGTGGTTTCTGGAGGGCACACATCACTCAGTTTGGATTCCCTACATCTTTGGAAATGATGCTTATGCAAATTTGTATGAAGGTGTCTTGCTAAAGAAAAAGAAATGAGGGCCACTAGGAAATGAGTTTTCATGGGCTCTTGGCATTGATTTGCCATCTACCCAACCCATATCATAGATGCCCAGGAGCGCCAGGGCCCATCCTGTGTGTACGCACACCTGTCCCTGTAGATGCCCCTGAGCACCTGGGGCTGTCCTGTGTGTACACGGACCTGTCCCCACAGATGCCCTGGAGTGCACAGGCCTGTCCTGTGTGTACACAGACCTGTCCCCGCAGATGCCCCAGAGCATACGAGCTGTCCTGTGTGTACGCAGATCTGTCCCTGTAGATGCCGAGGAGTGCGTGGGGGCCTGTCCACTGCTCCTAATGCCCCAGAGTCACCGGTATTGCTCAGAAGTGCAAGCTGTCCACTGCCTAGGAGTGGAGAGAGGGCACATCTCAGTCTCTCCCTGGGGGTGTAGTGTTGTGTTGGGGGGCAGTCTGGGAGGGCTTGGGGGTGGCCTGTGGGGGCTGTTCCACTGCTGGTGTGTGGGGTTTTGCCTCTGGAGGCCATTCTGTGGTGCTCAGTGTTGGGGTATCTGCCACAAAACATGCTAGAAGCGTCGGAGTCATGTTCCGTGGAGGGTGCTTGGGCCCCTTGCATCTGTGCATGTAATGCAGATTGATTTGCAGTTTTTTTATGAGACTAACTCAATTCTGTTTTTGAAATTTTGACTATATTTAAAACTTAGCTAACTGAAATCCTGAGGGCTGCCCTTTTCAATAATTTGAATTTTCTCTATCACTGAGGTGTGCTGAAGTTAAATGTCAGAATTTTTGAAGGATTGCCATATTGGGCAGAATTTTCTAAAACATTTACTCCCTTTTAATCAGCGCACACTGAGCACATGCCAGTGTTTGCTGGCCGTGATCAGGAGCGGAGCTGCTCGCTCCGTGGCAGTGCCCGGGTTTCTGGCGCGCCAGGTGAAAGCGTGGCTCCCTGGGCCTTCCTGCCGCCCCCGCCCTCCGCCCTCGTCCTCCTGTCCACTGCAGCCTGCCCGGTGCTCTGTGTCCCTGCTTCTGGCACCCCTGCCCTGCCCGGGCCTGGCCCACAGTGCTGCCTCTGTAGACACAGGGCCCAGAGAGTGGAGTATGTTGGCACTCCGGCGATGGAAGCTGTGAGGGGATGCGGAGTAAGGGCCGGAGGGACACTGGGATGCGGAGCAGATGTCAGCCCGTCGAGCTCCGCTGGGCGTCTGGCTGCTCGGAGTCCTTTGCAGCCATCTCTCATTTTAGGGTTTTGGCCATTTTCTGACTGTAAGGTGCTTGCAATAACTAAACGGACTTAAAATGGTTTCATTTTTTAATGCTGCATCTCCTCTCTTACCTGGAGGTCTTCACCTTTCCTTAGAACTCATGAACCAGTGTTAATTAACTGCTCTTGTTAATAAAGTGCACCTACTAATTGAGTGCCATGCACTCCACGTTACTGGTCACTTGTTGGGGATGTGAGAGACTGTACATTGGGTCTGCTCTCCGGAAGCCTGTCTGCTGGCTGGGGAAGCCATCTCTAAATGTTCCAGGCCAAAGAAGGGGTCCTGGACTCGTCTTCATGTGCCGTTACAGTGGTCTGTGGGGAGAGGTGGTGACCTGCAAGCTGCCAACTTTGCTTCATAATTAGGTAGCCAGTCTTGGCATCGAACCCGCTAATTCTCTCGCTGTGATTTGTCAGCTACCTGGGAATCTCTGGCTTTCTGGAGTTTTTGTTGAAAATGCCTGGTACCTGTGCAATGATGAGACTATGGTCTTGATAACATGCTGGCAGCTACTGTCAGTACTTATCTCCATGGCCACACAGGGTCCTCATCCCAGCATGGGTGTGTGTGTGTGTGTGTGTGTGTGTGTGTTGGGGGGGGGGTGCGTTGATTAAACAAGATCTCGTCAAGAGCTCATGAATTAGTCTAAATTCAACACCCCTAACTCTAGTGTGTGGACTGCATTTTGTGTCCCCACTGTGGGTAAAATTGAAACATTTCCTGATTATCTGGCATGGCTTTAATGCATTTGCGTATCCTCAGGGTGGAGAGAAGTTCATCTCTGTGTCAGTGGGTAATTACCTGGGCAACCGAGGGCGTGTCTGAACCTGAGAGTTTAAAGGGAGGGGCTGGCCTGCTTGCTTGCTGGACTGCGGTTTGTAAGCAATAAACAGGTTTTAAGCTTTATTTCCCCCTTTGACTAATTTTGGTTTTTAGAAGTATTTTGCCCCTGGATTTCCTCTGCCTGGACTTACACCGCCTAATTCATATGTTGAAATGCTGATCCCCAGTTAATGGTGCTTAGATCTGAGAAAGGAGCTTCCATGGTAGGATTAGTGCCCTGATTTAGGGGACCCACAGGCTTTCCCGGTCCCTCCCCATGTAAGCACACAGTGAGTAGACACTGTGAGCCAGGAGCGGGTCCTTGCAGAGCCTGACTATGTCTCACCCTGAGCCTGTTCCCCCCACTTCTAGCTGTCCAAGCCCAGGTGTGGTGTTAGGCATCCCAAGTGGACTCGGACAGAGCATGTCGGGCGAGGTAAGTGGGCTGCTCCCTCCAGCATGAGACCACGGACACATTCCCACCCCCTCTCAGGCTGCGTCCCCTGCCTTGTCATCCCAAGTTTGCCTGCGGAAACAGCAGCTGAGGGATCTGTCCCCTTGCTCAGGATGTCTTCAGAGTTGGCACCAGTTGGTATCGCAGCAAGATGGGAGCCGCAGGCTTCAGCCCTAAAGTCTCGGCTCTCTTTCAGCTATTGTGTTGTATTTTATTTATTGGAAGTTGGGAGTATTTTATTGTTATTAGAAAAGCCACAGGAGGCGCTCTGTCTGCTACAGGAGTGATGCATCTGTGGGCTGTGAACTTTGTGTGCAGCCCATGAACTGTATAAGTGAGATGAAACTGGTTTGGGTTATATTAATGTTGAGATTCAAAGTAGTCGTGGCTCCGCTGACAGCTGTGGACGGTGGTGTGAGGAGGACACCCAGGCAGCCCTGTGCTCGGAACGGGGTCTGTGGGCGGCTACGGGACCCCCATGTGGACCGCTGGTAGTGAGGTACTCCTCCTTAGCACCTTAACGGTCTCATCAGGGAAGACAGAAATCCATTTGTGACCAACCTGGGAAGTCCTGGATTCGCCCATGGCTTCTCTGCACATGGTGTGAACCAGGGTCCCCTGTTCGTCACTCAGACATGCGTGGTGCCAGCTAGGATGGCTTTGGCTTCAGGTAATGGGGCTCTGGAGCTCAGAGTGGCTGGAACATAGGGACCCAGGCCAGGTCAGCAGGTCCATCAGGACCGCATGCCCTTTCTCTGCCTGCTCGTGGCCCTGCTCTTGTCCGTGGGTGGGACAGGAGCCACCGCAGCGGGCGTGGGTCTCCTGCCACCATGTGTCGCCCACTCTGGGCCTCCCGGCCCGGCCGCAGGCCCACCCTGGCCACAGCAGTCAGCTCTCTGTCCCTAGGCACCGCGAACATGCGGCACAGGTCTCTGTCACCTTGGCCACCACCACATAACATCCGACCAGGGGCCTGTGTGACACAAATGCTGGATTCTTGCAGTTCTGGAGGCTGGGCATCTGGGTCGGGGGTCAGGCGCTGTCGGCTTCTGGTGAGCCTCCCTTCCTGGTGTATAGATGGCCACCTTCTCGCTGTGTGCTCACATGGCAGGGCTGGGGGAGGAGAAAGAGGCAGAGACGCACGTGAGGGAGAGACAGAGACAGAGAGAGACACACAGGAGAGAAAGACAGAGACAGAGAGAGACAGGGACACAGACAATGTGAGGGAAGGACAGAGAGACAGAGACACGAGAGAGGGTGCACGTGCGCTCCCCCGCTGGCCCTGGTGCCAGCCCTACAAGGGCGCCGCTCCCATCAGGCCCCGCCCTCCTGACCTCTCCTTCCCCTAATCACCGCCCAGAGGCCTCCCCCCCTCACATCGAGCATCTGGGGGAAGGACGCGCCCAGCCCTCGTCCAGGAGCGGACACCGCGCCGGGCAGCGTCGTCATCTGCTCTGATGTGCACCACCCTGCAGGCCGCGGGCTCAGGGGTGGGGGGGCCTCGTGTGGATCCCCGGCCGCCTGTGTTAATGTTGGGCGTTCCCCTCTTTCAGCGTCACCTGGGAGCCCACAGGCGATGGGACGAAGGTCATCTCGTTGGCCGACAACCACATCCTGCTGTGGGATTTGCAGGAAAGCTCCAGCCAGGCCGTGGTAAGTAACCAGGGCTACACTCGTAGTTTTTGTATTTATTTTTTTTAATTGGATATTTCTGCTGAACTCAGAACACACCTGATTTATATGTGTTTAGTATCTTGACATTGATCATGAAAGAACTAACGAACAGACTGAACCATCAGTCAAAGAATGGAGTGGTCGGCGCTTTCTGGCGAGAGCGTCCGGGTTTCGGGCTTGCCCAGGCGGGACACAGGGCCCTGGAAGTCGGCGAAGCTCCCTTTTGTGCCGTGATTCGTCCAAAGGAGGCAGTGGGACATTCAAAAGCGTATTCTTCTGTTTCAGACATATTGTCTTTTTAATGAATGGATTCTTAAAGTCTGTTTGGTTAAAATCACCTTTTAGGTAGGGGCAGCCGTGAAATGCCAGTTTTGTGCGTGGACTAGCGTTTCTCAGGTGGGCGTGGTGGTGGGCATGATGTGGGAGTGACCTCGCGGCCTTCCCGCGGACCCTCCGTCACACACACGTGCGCTCAGCCCTAGGGATTCAGCAGCCCCTGTGCGCGTGGTAGAGGGGTGGTGGCCCATCTCCAGCCCCGCCTGGTGCCCCCACGCCCGCTGGGCGCTTGGCTGCCAGCGACAGGGAATGGCCGGGTCTCCCCAGTGCCCCGCGGAAGTCGGGTCTCTCAGCAGGGCCTTGCTTCTTCTCAGATGCTTTAATATTCAGACTGACTTTCTTTGGAGCCAGTTTTGCTTTCGGGTATCCACGGCTTGGCATGCATGGTCTTTCATAGAGTTTGGTGTTCTGATTGCTTATATTCCTTTCCATATTTGATTCCTTGAACTTTTCTTAAAATGTGATTTTTACATGCATTTATAACTTAATTGCATTTGTTTATATCAAAGCAACTTTAGAGAGAAACGAGGAGTTGGGAGCGGTAAAGTCAGGGGCCGTGTAGCTGCGGTCAGGGCGGGGTTGGAACCAGGCTGGGTGTGGATTTCCTTGGTGGTGCCCGGGGGTCTTGTATTTGTTTGTTCCTATGATGCTCTTTTAGCTTTTTCCCACATGGCCCTTTCTAATATTAAAGAATCCTTTCGTCAGCCGCTGGCTTGCAGGGATGGCACAAATAGTGACTTCCCATTATCAATACGTGGCAGGGATGCCAGGCGGTAATGAGGCTCCCTGCCCACAGTGTCACAGGTCCGTTCAGAAGGGTGCCTTGTAGTCTTTGATGTAAAGGTAAGAGTTGGCCTGTTTTGGTAACGTTTATCTAGTATTTAAGGAAAAAGATTACTATTTTCATTAAAATTAAAAAAAAAAACAAGACATATCTCTCTATCATGGAGTAGAATGCAAATTTTACCCAAACTTTTAGGATTAAACAGGAAACCTGAAGGAACTTCATGCGTAAGGTTGTTCCCTGGGGCCCTGCTGGTCCCACCTTCTGTGGGGCTTGCTGGGGAGTCTGGGTCCAGCCCAGGGTGAGCCCTCTCCTGTCCTCTTCTCCAGCTTGACTTCAGGAGGGTGTTCCTGTGTAGCCAGAAAGGGAAAATAGGCTCCTGTTGAGATGCCAGGCCTCGGGGCAGGCCTGTGGATGTCGGGCCCTGGGGTGAGCAGGGGCCACGCTCCTCCGCTCAGCAGGAAAAGGCCAGCCAGGAGGCTGCCCTTGAGTCGCAGGCATTGGAATTCAGCAGCTGTCATTGCTCAGCCTGGCGTCCTTCCTGTGATCAAAGTGTAGACACTTCCCAGGCCTCAGCCGTCTCCAAATGCTTTTATGGTGGGTGATTAATCTGTGACTTATTTTCTGCAGAGACCAATTCTGTTTTCTCTCCCCCCTTTTTATGTACTGTCAGCAGTTCTGTCAAGATCCCGGGGCAGCCCTCTACTGTGGGATCTCATACCCACACCTCCCTATCGATTCTGGCCACCTTCACTCCCAGCTCCTCAATTTTTTTTTTTTATTGTTTGAGGATATTGCCTTCTGTGGTGAATCTAATCTTATGCTCACTGCATCATTACCTTTTGCAATTAAATTGGAGGTTCTCTGCCATTTATAATCATTAGCAGAGCCCAGGGGACATTTAGAGGGGGAGGTTCTGGGGGGTCTTGGACCCTGATGAAGGCAGAGGGGCTGCCCCCCTGTTCCAATGTGTGCTCACTCATCTCTAGGTTCTGGCAGCTTTCACTAGCTGTGGAAATAAACAGCTCCTTTCAAGGTGCGTGAGCTGCAGCACAGGGGGAAGGAAGGCTGCCCGAGGGCCGGCACTGGCAGTCTTCAGGCCCTGCGCCGGCTGAGGAGCCCGAGGTTGTGTGCAGGGTGGGCCTGAAGGTGCTCACAGACCGCGCACCGTCTGCAGGAGGAGAGTAGGCACCAAGGACACGGTGCTTTTCAGCAATTTTCTAACCCAAGGAAAAAACATGCCCCAGGAGGATCAAATCCAGCAGCAACAGGGAAATTACTAAACGCCACTGCAGCTGGGTCCATTGTGCACAAAAGTATAAAACATGCGTTTGTTGTCTGGGGGCAAAGAGAGCACCAGGCCAGTGCTGGCCACCCTCAGGACATGGGCTGAGTTGAGGCCCGGCCTGCACCCTACTCGGCCCGTGGTCCCCATGCTGCCCCTTCCTCGTGTGCAGGCTGTCCGTCACCCCTTGCCAGCAGGCCGTGGCCCCACCTGGCTCTCTGCTTCCCTGTTCTGCCAGTGTGGCCCAGAGGAAAGAAGGCTGCCTGCTAGCTCATCTAGAGGCAGACCCTGGAGTCCAGAGGCAGAGAGGCTGGGTTCAGACATCGGCCTTGGTCTGCCTGCAGCCTGACCACAGGCCAGTGAGCTTGCCTGGGAGCACCTTCTGGCGTGGTCCGGATCACCAGTGCCTGTGGGGTCAGACTGTCTTGGGGCCGGGCCCGTCTCTGTCCTCTTCCTTACCTCCTGGCAGCGGTGGCTCTGAGCAGATGGCCCTGGGCAGAAGGGTCAGCCACTGGGTGCCAGCCCTGAAGGAGGGGGCGCCTCCTCCCCCACTAGCCCTGCCCCTGGGCTGTGCAAGCAGTGTGCTGACATCGGCTCTCCGCTCTCACTGCGTTTTCAGTGACGTAACAGAGTCTTCCACAGAGCAAACATTTTTCATTTGCTTTAATAGGCTTTAGTTTTTAGAGCAGTTTTAGGTTCACAGCAAAATTCAGGGGACGGCACAGAGAGCTCCCGTCTGCCCTCCCCAACTCACGGCCTCCCCCCTGCTCAGCACCTATCGCAGGGTGCGCTTGCCGGTCAGTGGGCCTGCCTCCACCCCTTCCTGTGGTACGATGCCAGAAGACCTTTGGCAACCTGGCAGCTCTTTCACGCTGGTCAGGAAGTCCTGCCATGCCAGATGCCTGGCCTGTGTGTCGTCCCTCAGCAGGTGACTGCAGCCAGTTCTCGAGGAGTGCCGAATGCTCCTCCAGGCTTCCCCACAACCCTGTGGCATGCTGCGCCACTTAACAATGGCTCACAAGTGTTCAGCCAGTCGCCACCCTGATAATTTTAAAATAGTTGTTTAAACAAAGACACAGACCTCAGGATCAGGACGTGACCCCTCACCTGACAGATGAGCAGAGCCAGTCTCAAGGAGCCAGCGGCCTGGGTGAGATGGGGACTGCGGTTGGGCCTGTTTCCGCCTGTGCTCCCCAGCGGCGTTTCCTGAGGGCCTCCTGTGCACCATACACCCTGCTTGCCCCTCTCCTGACCTTGTGGCCCAGCATCTGAGCATCCTGGATGGTCAGTAACATTTTGCTGTGTGAGAGCAGATTTTGATCAAAAGTTATTTGGAACCAATCTAGTAAGTAAGATAGTTAACTAACCCTTGCAAAACTCATTAGCAAAAAACATGTTAAAGCTCCAAGAAAACCGATTTTCCTGTGAGACTTGTAAAAAGGCATTCCAAAATATTTTGAGCATTGTCTGCATCATTAAAATAAATAGAACCTTCAGATACACTTTCACACAACAGTCATTTGAACTTAGTTTTAGGATATCTTTTTTTTTAAGCCATGATCTTCAAGAAAACATGAAGTTTAGTAATTTACTGAGTTGCACATCTTAAGAGCATAATAATCATATACATCTTTTGATTTTGTAAATATTGATGACAACTAGTATTTCTTGATCTTCCAATTAGATTTTGGAAAAAAATCACTGAATACAAAATGGATGAGGTGCTGAGGTCTGGCAAGTGAGCGTTTGTTCCCCAAGCTCTTAAAAGACTCCCTTCTGGTGATGAAGAGTGAGCGATACATGAGATGACTAAGTGTATTTAAGAAAAGGCAGCTGGTGAGCCTGGGGACGGCCGGTGGGCGCTGGCCGTCAGCACCAAGTTTTGATGCCTGCTGTATCCAGGGGCTGCAGCTTTGAACAGAGACACAGCCCCTGCATTGTGGGTTGCTGTCCAGCTACAGTAGTAGTGTAAGGATGATGCCTTTGGTTTAAATTTTTAGGTTTTGCTGGAATGGGCTGGGACAGACGTGGGCCGGTGGCTAAAGGGAAGGTTGTGGGGGTAACAGAGGCCTGCGGGGAAGATGCTGGGCGCTGGCAGTCCTCTGGGGCTGAGGCAGCATCCCAAGCTTCAGAATCGGGTCCTATTCCTGGCACTCACTCACAGTGTGACTTTGGGCAAGTTTCTGGGCCTATCCACTCCTCAGTGTCCAAGGCAAGCAGGCAGCACATACCTGTTGGCTAGCTGGGTGGATGGAGGGAGGGAGCGGCTGGAATCCATGGTCCCCCAACTGGACAGTGAATGAGGGCCGGGTCCAGCCAGGCTCCCAGTGCACAGGCAGGGAGGAGACACTGAGATACCAAAGATCCGCCTGTGTTTACTTCATGATGAAATTACTTCCCTCAAAGTCAGCAAGTGATCGTGGCGGTTCACCAGGGAGCCCCGGGTGCTCTGGTGGTCGCGGCGCCCCAGGCCGCAGGCTCCTTCTTCTTCCTAAAAGGCCGGCTCTCCCTCGGCGAGGAGCCTGCTGTCAGATCTCTCTCTCCGCAGGTCACCAGTGTCCAGCTGGTGTGGCA